CTCGCTCTCTTTTCTGTTCCTCCGGCTGCACCTTGCCCACTGCATCTGTACCCACCACAGGGAGGGAACCTGAGGCCATCAGGATGCGTGCATTTCAGGACGGGCAGTGCTGACATTTCCAAAGGGCAAGGGTGCCATTCCAGGGTGGGATCCAGCAGAAGCTCCAAGAGAGTCTGATAAGCACTGGAAGTGACACTGGGGTCACTCGCCAGCTAATGTCGTCCTGCCCTCCATCCGCAGGTTGTGGACTCCCAGCTGGTGTGCATGATGAATGAGAACAGCATCGACTACATCTCCCGCTTCAACGACCTGGCCCAAGAACTGTCCTTCACTGAGCCAAGCCGCCGGGAGGCCCTGTTTGATGGAGGCGGGCCCCCCATTGGCGACCTGTCACAGTGATTACTTGGACTACCGCAGAGGAGGGTTCTTAGAACTGGTGGCCCTCAGCTACTAGGGGGTGGGGGGTGGCCGCTTTAAATGAGAGAATACAGTCTTCAGACACAGGTCCCCTCCAGAGGACTTCCAGACTCAGAGCACCCCCGAGGTGCACGTAACTAGCTGGCTGGGCGTGGTGCTCTGATGGCAGGGCAGCCTGAGAAGAGGAGCAGTGCTCCGGAAGGCTGGAGACGAACATCATGGCCTCGGGGCCAAGTGTTGGGGTCAGCCAAGCAATGACGTTTCGTCGTGGTGCTAGGGTTTCCGTGGGCTGCCCTCTGCGCGCAGGCCTGCCTCTGTAGCCACTGCATCCTGGAGGGGGCTCCACCACTGCTGCTTCCTCCCTCTACCACTCTAGTCACCGACAGTGGGGCCAGAGCTCAGAGCAGCCTGAGGGGCAGCAGAAGCAGTGCGGTCACCGGGAGTCGTGGTCCTGGCCTGATGCTTCCCCAACTAAAGGTCGTACTCGGACTCATGTCGCAGGCAGGTTGCACAGACTTGGGAGCCACCTGAGCGGGCCGCTTAGACTAAAGAGCGGGGCCCTGCTTCAGCTGCCTGCCTTGCCGTGTCCATCAACAGGTGTCTCCCAGGTGACCTGAGGCTGTCAGGTGACTGAGCATTCAGTAGACTAGATGAGCTGCCCTGAGTTCTTCAACTTCAGGCACGGGTTTCTTGGGCTTCCGAGAACAGGTCCCCTTCTCTTCATTAGTTCACCCTGCTCTTTGCCATTGGTGTGGGGTATGATGTAAGCCCTCCTGTGTTTCTGTTCCCACAGTTCTGGGTGCGGGCAGCACCATGTCCCTTTGATGGCCTCCTGGAGACCCCTGGGTGAGAGACCAGTGGTGACTCCTGCGGATGGTTGAGCAGCTAGTCTCTCCCCACATGGGGCCCAAGCAGGAGAGGCCCTGCCCTGCCACAGCCAGGAGCCATTGGTGTGCTGGCAGGTTACCATGTTACTTGCTGCATCACTCTCCGTCAGCAGCCAGGATGGGTTTGCCCTTTTCGACCTCCCTGCACCTGCCACGTCTCTGTTCCCTTCCCCGCACCCCTGCCCACAGAGCACCCGTCCTCAGGGTCAGCCTGGCCTCTCCACTCTTAGCCGCCCTGCTCTTCCTCAGTGGAGAAGTGAGCCGTGAGCACCGGAGCATCGGGGTCTTCCATATGTCTTAGCAGAAGTGGTTTTGATCCGTGGTCTCTCTCCATCTCCAGTGACAGTGGCCTCTTGACAACTGTGCCCTTCCATGTGACAAGTTTCTCCCAGAGCCTGGAAGATGGCTTTCTTCCTTCAAGTCTGGTTCTTGGCACAAAGGTCACGGACAAAAGCCCGTGCCGGCCAGTCTTCCGGCTCCTGAGAAACCACTGTCAATGTTCCCAAAATGCAGAGGACAGGAACACAGTGTCGCTTTTTAAAGATGCACAGAGCAGTGTTAGAACCAGAGTATCTCAACTAGCTTGGGTCCCATTCTGGTCTCTGTTTGATCAGTTTCCATAAACGAGCACTTTACTGAGCTAAGCCAGATTCGAGGATCCCTGGGGTTCTGGGTGTGCTGGGTCTTCAGTAGACAGGGCACTCAGCTGAGCTTAGACCTCTGATGCTCTTCACACTCCCATTGCCTCACATCCAAGCCAACAACAGCCAGGATCCTGAGACAGGCTTAGCCAGTAACACCTAAAGGGAGGGAAGTTCTGGCACTTGGGATCAGGTTTGGGGCTCCTCGCTGAGCAGCATCTCTAGCACAGACTCCAGTTGGGAGTGGCTGCCTGCAGCTGGCACCATCCAGGGGCAGGTAGGTTGGGGAGGAGGGTGGATTGAAACCTCTGCCACAAAGCTGACCTGGTACTGGACGGGGATGAGCAAGCATGCTTCTAAGTAAAGGGGAAACGGTTTTATCTGGAGTAGAAAACCTAGTGTGATTTCCCCCAGCCTCAATAAGTACCTATGTAAAAACCGTAAGAAGTGGGGATTTTCCGAAGAACTGGGCAGCGGTGTCTCTCCCTTCCTTCATTCTGCTGCTTTCCCAACAGAAGTTGTCATGGTCTCAGAATGAGCCTATTGGCTCTTTTAATGGTTTATCTGAGCAGATTGAGATGGAGTTGATCTCTGTTCCGTACATCATTCCTTAAAGTCAGTCGATTGTTTTCTGGAAGCTTTGCAGATTCATCCTTTGGAAAGATTGAGACTGAATGATCTCAGGTCTCGGGACAGGGGGTGGGGTGGGAGTGTGGCCTTGACTCCTTCTTGTGATTCTGGTGATAGGGTGCTGCCTTTTAGAAGCTGTGGGGCTTCTGTTGATTTCTCCCCGGAGCATCGTGAGGATGTTCTTTCTCTCTACATACCTTGTACACATTGAGGACCTGCTCAGGGGGTGGGAACATTTGCTCAGTTGATCTGCTTGCTTTCGCACATCCCCAGGCCCTCAGCATCCAAATCCCACCCTATATCGTTCTCTGCCCGACTTGAGTTACTTTACAGTTCAGTGACACGTCTGAGTATCCCGATCATGCGCTGTTGAATTCAGACGTTCTGCAGAGTTGCCCTAGGATATAAGATGCTGGAAATGTGAGGATGGTGACAGCAATTTTTTAAAAAAATTATTTTTATAAACATTCAAATCTAGCAGATGTGTTTATGGGGCAAATATGACACTTAATTTCTTATGGGAAAAAAAGGCTGAGGGCAGAAAGCCACAGCCAGGCTTTGTTTCCTGCCTGGGCTCTCCTCATGTCGCAGCAGTTTGTAAAGCATGTTATCTAAGTCAAGACTCGGCCATACGACCACCACCTGGTCCGTCCTTTGGGACCAGGATGGCTGGCCAGGGAACTCATGGTTTGAGCAGCGGAATTTATTGCTGTTTCTTTTAATAATAGTTAAGCCATATCATCTAAGGTTTTGGGCTTGTTTGAGATGTGAATTTGTTTTATAGATTATAAATATACATATACAGTGTATGTACAAAGCAGAATGCCTGTCCTTCCTGATTATTTTTTGTATCATATTGTAAATTATATTATTTATTCTTTGCCAATTTTGGGAATTAAAAGGTGTTTTGGTTATTTAATATAATAAAAACTGTTACACTTCTTATGTTTAAATTTCCAGTTCAACTTGTAAATCTGTTTTTATTGTGCATAAATACATACTAATACTTGATCTAACCATTGTTGTTTCTGCCTTTTTTAAAACAGTCTCTACTTTTCTAAAGGTGGGGGGGCTGAGGGCACCACAGGAGAAAGATGGGGTGCTCTGCTTTTGTAGACCTCAGCCTTGGAAACCCTCAGACAGGTCGACTCTAGGGTGGCTATGACTTGGTCTGTGTGCTGCTGAAAGCGAGCAGGTGGGGTTAAGAGTAGTGAGTGGTGATCAACTTTATGGCAATGGGTTTTGCACTTAAAAAGTACTGTCACCAGTCTGGTGAGCTTACAGAGTACAAGGTGAGCTACCACCCACCAAGGTCCTTTCACATCAAATTCCCACTGCTCTTGTTTGTTGGCTGGCTCTTTGCTTCTGGAAGGAATTTGCCCACCTCTTGTCTGGGGAGTGTGGTGCCTGCCTTCATTTCTTTTGCCTTCCCAGTGGGAGGCCCTCTGAAGGGCCCTTCCTGCCCACCCGCCTGGCATGCACAGCTCAAAGGGGGACAAATGCTGAGGACAGAAGTGGGTTTCCTTGAACAGACAGATAGCAAATGCCAGGTGTTTTAATTGGCCAAGAGGTACAAAGGCCTCTGACCTGCCTGGCCAAAAGAACAAACATTCTCTGCGACTGGAAGGCCTCATTGCTTTCCAAATATAATACAAATGACCCAGAGATGGGTGGCCTCTGGTCACCCACTGCTCTGGGCCAGTACTGGATTACCCAATAAGCAAGGGAAGCTGGGCTTACTTGGTGAACAATTTCACATTGTGTTCACCACATTAGAATTTCTGGCCCTCTGTCTCCCCCAATGGCAGCGCCTCAAAGCCTCTCAAAATAGAGTGTCCTTGTTAGAAGTAGGTCGTCAGCTAGGTAGGCACGGGCTGGCTTGTGCTTACTCGTCTTTAGTAAGTTTCACGTATCCTCCCCACCTCTGCTTGCTCCCCGTGAACACGGACGTATTCACATGTTGGGTGGATCTCTCTAGAGATCCTCTGTATAGATGAGTGAGGAAGCACACCGAAACCCGTGCTTACCCTGCCTAACTTGCTGACCCGGCACTCCGCCCCCGGCTCCTGGGTGGAAGACAAACAACCACAGCCGAGTCGTGGACTGGCGCCTCGGAGAACTGCAGGTCCCGTGCTGCGCGGCGGGCTGGGTTCAGTGAATCACGCGCTTCCTTTCCCAGGAGTCCGCACCGTCCGCCGCGCCGCCGGGCCCAGCCCCTGCCAACGCCACACCGCCGCTTCCACCTCAGCGCTGCGCTCTAGTGCCACCGCTTTCGCCGGCTCGCTGACCAATGGCCGTGCCCGCCGCCGTGAGCGGCGCCTCCCACAGCCAATTGTCTACGAGAACGGCGGGTCCGCCCCAGGCCTCTCTCTGGTTGGCGGCAGTCGGCCCCTGAAGGGGCGGGGCTACGTGTTCTGATAGGCTGTGGGTCCTCATTGGCGTCAGCGCCATCCAATGAGCTCTGGCGGGCGGACTCAAGTACCAGCGCGGGACCGGGCGCGAAGCACAGCGCGGAAAGCTGGGGGAGGCGCCTGGTGGCGGGCGACATGTTCCGGGGGCCCGAGCACGACGGCGTCCCGGCCAGTTCCAGGTGCGCGCGGCGGGCAGGCGCGAGCGGGCCTCGGGGCCGGACTCTGAGGCTCTGGCTGGCGGGCCTCGGGGCGCTGGGCTGAGGACCCGTCGGGTGGCGTGGCGAGGCGGGACCCCGGGAGGGACCGGAGGCGTCGGCTGGTCGACCCCGCGGGTCCGGACAGAGCGACCTGACGTGGTCCGCCTGCGAACGGCGGGATAGTGACCGGCCCCCCCGGGCTGTGGGGCGGACGCTCGACCTGTGGAGCCGAGCGCGGTCTCTAGGACACCGCACTCGACCCGCGCCAGGCCTTGGGGCGGAGGCCCGCGGCTTCCGGCGGTGCCCTCTCAGGGCGGCTTCATTGCGTTCCGGCGCCGCAGTTCCCACGCGAGTCGTTGGTTGGCATTGGTAACCTCCCTTTCCGGCCACCACGTTCCATTAGCTGCCCCTTTCCATTCATCTCCTCCCCCCGCCCGCTCCACCAGCTCCACTTCCCCGCCTTTTGTGAGCCCCGGGGTTTCCGGGCCCTAGTCGTCGGCCGGGGAAAGCCTCCGGACTGGTCTCCCGGCCGAGTCGCCACCTACCAGGAACGAGGGAGCTGCGAGTCCGACCACCCAGGACCTTGCCAAATAAGGGCATGGTTGAGTTTCAGCCAACCAGGGACGACCGCCTTTTTAAAAAACAAACAAACCCCCACCCGGAGCTCAGGGTCCCCGACCGGGCACAGCAGGAGGACCAGCTAGCCCTTGGCGGGGTCTCAGGACACTTGCCCTTTCAGTGGTGCAGACCCGCTGGGAGGCTGTCGCAGGGTGTCCTGACTATTGCTTAATAAACCCGCTGTGCCGCTTGCGCCCGTTGTTTGGTGTTTGCCTTGTTGCCACGCCACCGCTCTTTTCAAGAAGCCAGGGGTGCTGGGATCAGCCAGAAAAGGGGTCACTGTACCCCAACAGTAGTTTCTTAGTTTGCTTGTTTTTAAGTTGTTATCATGTTGTAGAGGCGTGAGGAACATTGTTGAAATCCCAGACACCATTTTGGTTTCTCTTTGTAACTGGCAGATCAGTATAAAACCCTGATGGGTAAGCATATCATGATGGCTCTCTAGAGAGAGAACTGGGGCGTGCCGCTCTATCCCACGTGAGCTTACCTGAGGAAACGCCCAAGAAATCCAATCTGAGCTCATGCTAGGGAGAGAGGCTTTTATTCGATTTTTCAAAGTTGGGCGCTCAACCACAGAGTCAGATTGCCAAGGTGGGCATGCCTCGCAGCCTCTCTGCAATCACTTTATCCTCTTAAATTTGCAGGACCCTTCTCATAGTTGGGAACTGCTTTGAGTCCTGTGGGATGAACACTCTTTCCCAAGAGTCACCTAAAGCTTTCTCCCTCCAGATCAGATTCCTCCAGCCAGCTCCCCCTTTAATTAATTCTTCCCTTCCCCACATTCCAAACCCCAGGTGCCTGAGCTTTAGTCATTGTCACAGCAGTTATCAACTGGTGCCCTGGGTACTTGACTCTTTGTTCTCTGGTTGCTGATTATGACCAGCCTGGTGATTTATTTCTCACAGATGTGATTATTTTATTTAAAGGAACCCAGTACTCTTGGGTCATAGTCTCTGTCTGTGAGTCATTCTGTTGGCTAACTGCAAGGTGACCCGAGGGTTGGATTGACTTTAGGTCCAAGGTCTGACTGCTCCAGTCTGAGCTGTCTGGACTGTGAGATTCTGTTTTTAATTGGAGGTTCTGGCCCACATTTTGCCCTCCCTTCTTTCAGGGTCTATGTGTTGTGAACCAGAATGCAACTTTTTACTTTTTCTTCTGATTAAGCACATTTGACATTCGATCTCTTGAGTAGTCAGCCAGCATGAAGCCCACAGCTCTGTGTCGCAAAGACTCTCTCCTGGGACAGTGGTGGTGCCAGGCTGCTGGGGAAAATGTGGGATGGTGGTAGGGTGTATGTGTGTGTGGTGGTGGTGGGGTCAGACTGCAGGGGCATGGGGTCAGCACCCAGGTCTTCATTGGATCTAGAGATTAACTGCTCTGAATCCTAGTGCAGGCAAGTCGACTGACCAATGGAGAGTACTGGGTGCTGATGTAGACCTTGTCCGGGAAAGAAGATCCCACCTGAGACCTTAGCTCCCTCCACTCTTCCCCAGAGTCTGGGGCAGAAGAGGAAAGACCAGGAAGAGACAGTGGTAAGAGCTGAGATTGGAAGGCAGATCTCTCTTGACTTGGCTTTCACACCTAGTGGGGGCCCAACAGCATGCTCTTTTGAAAAACAAAAAAAACACAAACCAATATATATATACTTTTGGCTAATGGCTCACACTTTGAAAGCCCAGGAAACCTCCAGTTCTCTACTCGGCATGTATGGATGGCATTGCCAGGAGTGAGACCCAACTCCAGGGCAACTGGTTTATCTCCTTTTTGTTGG